GAGCCCCCCCCCCCCCCTCCAAGGCAAAAGGGACCCTGATGCAACGCAAAACAGGACGGCGAATGAAACCTCGCCATCTCCAAAAACACATGAAAAGAAAAAACAATCGATACACAGACAAAAAAAGTTAGGGTTTAGGGTTTNNGATAGAGTGAGAGAGAGAGAGAGAAACTGCTGCAGCTTGGCAACTCTCCCAGCCGGCAGTTCACGGGCTCAGGGGAACTCCCGGCACAGCCTCGCGGGTCGCCCCTTGAGAAAAACAACTACGCTTTCCTGTGCGGTTAAAGTTAAGGGTTTAGGGTTGACGGTTTAGGGGTTTAGGGTTTAGGGGTTTCTGGTTTAGGGGTTCGGGGCTTTGTATAGGGTTTCACAGGAAGAAAACTTCCTTTTGTGTTAAATGGGCTAAGCAGTTGCACAGGCTTCTTACAGACAACCTTCACTGTCTAGGGTTTGTGAGAGTCTGTATAAGGCTGTCATACTGTTGATGATATAAACCCTGCATTACCTTAAGGACCCTAAACTATGGGAATTATGGTGTATTCCTTATTATGGGTAATGCAGGATTTATATCATCAACCGTAGAAACCCTATGTCTGAAAAGCTGTAAGAAAATGCGTAGTGTTTGTTTAGAGAGACTTTTATAGGCTTTGGTCAGAATTTGTGCAAGGCTTGATGAGTAAACTCTGAGATCTGACAGGCATAATCGAAATTTGCACGGGTTGTGTGGGTTGCTCACAAGGATTCAATGCGGTTAGAGCATCGTGGCAAGCTGTTCTGTGAGTTCGTGCTGCGGTTTTCAATAGGATCTCATAACGGTTGTCTCAGCTCTCTGTGAAGGCTTTGCAGGGGTCTTAGGGTTTGAGAGTTTGGGGATGATTTTGAGCGGAAAAGGATCTTTGGGATAGGGGTTTCAGCTTGGGGCTTGATCGCTGTACCGGAATCGCTGAAATGATGAAGAACATTTCGCCCTAAACACTATCGTTGATGATATAAACCTGCATTACCTTAAGGACCCTAAGCTATGGGAATTATGGTGCATTCCTTATTATGAGCAATGCAGGATTTATATCATCAATCGTAGTTTCTGGTGCACAGACTTCAGAGTGGCTTGGCGCTTCGAGCTTTCCAAAACACATCCAAAGGCCATCCAGACCCTAAACCCTAAACCCCTTAACCCTAAAAACCCTAAGCCCTAAGCCCTAAACCCTAAACTGAGCCTCGCAGGACCCTTCCACGATCCTTGCAGAACCTTTGTAAGAGGCTTGTAAAGCCCATGTAATAGCCCTGAAAAACGCCTCTAGACTTGAACCCTAGAGGAACCCAAGAAAATCCTCAGAATTGGACCGCCCACCTCGGTCCAGAAAGTGCTGTGCGAAGGAGCGCTCGTCCCCTTGCCTCTGTCCGTCTTGAGGGGACTTTGATTGGGGCTTGGGGTTTAGAGTTTAGTGTTTAAGGTTTTGGGTTTGCGGTTACGGGTTCAGAAGTTTTGTGGGCTTGCATAGAGGTAAGGTTTTTAGGACTTTGAATGGCTTATACAAGTGTCTTCAAAGAAGGCGCGGCTAGGGGCTTTTTGAGGGTTAATATTGGAGCTTCCAGGGTTTCTTTGAGGGCTCCTTTAAAGGTGCCTCCTACGGTTCCTTCAAGGGTTCCTTTAAGCATTTGGTGGCCTACCGATGCTTGGGTCTCTGGTCTTTGGGGGCTTGAGGGGAGCTTCAGGCTTGTGTAAACCCTAAACCCTAAACCCATCGGCTTTACTGCTGATGATATACCTCCTGCATTACCCAAAATAAGGACTATACTATACCATAAGTCCCATAGTTCAGGGTCCTGTAAGGTAATGCAGGAGACATCTCATCAACAGTAGTGCCTTACGGTACGGATGTGGGGGTTTAGGGGTCAAGGGACTTGGGGGCGCAGGAGCGCAAGGGCTCGCATGGCCTTTGCTTTGTAAGCCTATGTAAGGTTTAGGGTTTAGGGTTTAGGGTTTAGGGTTTAGGGTTTAAAGTTTAGGGTTTAGGGTTTACGGTTTAGGGCGCCTTTTTGTGTTGAGCGCCTTTTTCCGTCTGCTAGGTACCAACGACGGGAATCTGCTATTGCAGAAGGCAACACACCAAGGTTCAGGGTTTAGGATCTAGGGCAGCCTCAAAACCTTAAACCCTAAACCCAAACCCTAAACCCTAAACCCTCAGCCCCAAAAACCCTAAAACCCAGACTCCAAACCCTAAAAACCCTAAAAACCCTAAAAAAACCTAAAACCCCAAAACCACAAAAACCCTAAAAACCCTAAAAACCCTCAAAAACCCCAACCCCTAAAAGCCCCAAAACCCTTAAAAGCAAAGCGGCCTCTCCGGGCCGGCTATCGGGGCGTAGCGCGCGACGATGGCCAGGGAGAGAGCCCCAAAGGAAAGGAGCCCCAGCGCGCGGTAGCCCAGCTTACGGCCCTGGGGATTTTAGGGTTTTGGGGTTTTGGGGTTTAGGGTTTAGGATCTGGGGATTTTGGAGTTTAGGGTTTAGGATTTGGGATTTTGGGGTTTAGGGTTTAGGGTTTGAGGGTTTTGGGGTTTTGGGCTTACGGACCTGGTTAGGGTTTCGGGTTTAGGATTTGGGGATTTGGGGTTTTGGGGTTTACGGTTCAGGATTTGAGGGTTTTCGGGTTTAGGGCTTAGGGTTAGGATTTGGGGTTTGGGGTTTGGGTTTTGGNNNNTTAAGGTTTAGGGTTTAGGCTTTGAGACTTCGCTAAGGGCTCCTGCTTTGTTGCCTAGGAACCCGTTTAGAGCCTAACTCGTGGCAGATGACCGGATCCTTACCCTCAATACCCCTCAATACATTAGGGGGGCACCACACATCTTAACAGAATCTGTTTCGGAAGAGAGACAATTGTGTTTAAATATATTATGCCCTATTCACTTATGTTCCACTATTATATTATATAACTTATTTTTAAATTATATTGTTATATAGTGTCTACTATAATGTGATATTATGTTGTAGTATACTATATCATGAATATTATATTATATTACATTATATTTTATGTTGTATTATCTTATATTGCTTAAGATTGCGTATCATATCTTTTCATATTAGATCATGCAATATCATATTGTATTGTAGTGCATGAAATACTATTTTATATTTTTACACTATGTTATAATATATATATATATATATGTGTGTATATATATATATATGTATATATATATATATATATTAATTATGTTATATTGGATCATCTTATCTTGTCTTGTAGTACATTAATGTCTAATAT